GAGAGGGGGAGGGAGAGAGAGAGAGGGAGGGAGAGAGAGAGAGAGACAGAGAGAGAGACAGAGACAGAGAGAGAGACAGAGACAGAGAGACAGAGACAGAGACAGAGACAGAGAGAGACAGAGAGCACTCGAATGCGCAGGTTAACGTCTTCAAGCGAAAAAAGCCCTCCAGGTTTGTAGTGGATGGTGAGAATAAATACTAGTCATGTTTTTCGGAGGTGGTGTTGTTGGTTTTTTGGATTTACACGAAATATCTTAATAGACTAAGTATTTTTGATGAATGGACTGTCAAAATGTTCAGTCTTCTGTGCATAAAATATTGCGAACCACTCGTTTACATTATTGCTGGAGATGAAATCATCATTTAACTCGAAAATTGTTCAGTAAAACCTGTTCGTTTTACTATATACACGTCAAAATACTGTAAAATATTATACATAATTTTTAACAAGCAAGAATACCTATTAACAACTGCTTTCTTTAAGATACTGTAGAATTACCATGAAAACATGTCCTTTATTAATTACATTAGCTAACCTAAGAAAAATGGAATCATTTGAAGCCCTAAAATAAGCGTTTATAATTGTTAAGTCGATTTTTCATATTTTTAAGGATGCTCTCCTTTTTCACACAATGTTTTTCTCAATACAATTGCTGCATCTAATAGTAGAGAAGAGGTGTACTTTTACAAAGAGAAGCAATTTAATAAATATGATTTGTTCGTTTGCAATATGAATTTTTGTTTGGTACCGTGATATTTCATCCTAAATATTAACACTTTAAAGGGATTGTCCAGTCCGACACACTCTTCAGAGTCACAACGGACTACACTTTTTCGAACTTATTGTTCCAGTTTGATAGAAGAATAAGAAAAGCAGCAGGTCGCAATACTGTTGATCTTCTGGTAAAATCTTTTTCATACAATAGATTAAGTTTGCTGCTTTGCTGGGTCCTTAAAGCCCTTTTGATTGTGCAATAGGATTTTATTAAACATTGGCATCACATGTGGTGTGTATACATGAATCTAATAAGTGCCAAAACATGAACAGCAGTGTATTAGTGTAAGCTTATTAACAATAATTAATAATAATTCAGCACAGAAATTTGCGCAATTTGTAAAATATATTTTTATTCGATAAATAATTTAATTTGATGTGAAATAGCCATTACTTTTCAAGCGTGTTGTACATGTGCATTAGCTACTGATTACTTTGTTTTCCTTTTCCTTGAAATACAAATGAATAATAGTGACCGATGTGGGAGGATTTGAAGAAACAACACTCAGAATATTTTCAACTTATAATACATTTATTTTAAAAAATCAGAACATGCCTTTTGATTAATTTTTTTTCTTACAAAAGTTACTGACATGTAGACGCAATCCATCTCCTTGAATCCACCCTGAGAATATCACTTTAACTTAACATCATCTCTTGGAAATAAATATGTGCTGTACCTTCTGCTGTATTCGTAATTTTGTGTGTTTCTAAAATAATGCTAAAATGCTGTGTAATGCTAAAATAATGTTACGTACACAATTTAACAGGTTTGTCACAATATGGACCCAAATGACTAAACGGAGCAACCTTTACCTCTAATTTAGTACTTTACGGAGAATGAGGTCCTCCTTAAATCTTAGTAGGATTTTCAGGAGACGGCAAACGAATGTTTGGATTATTTTACACAATTTAACTAAAAATAAACTTCATCGTTCTACAGTAGTTTTGAATGTTTATTTTATTCCGCGTATTACATTCAAACCAATGATTTGTATTTGTATCATGTTTCCTGGATGGATTCAAGATAATCAACATCAATGAAATATTGTATGGCACACGAAAGTAAAAATATATTATTCGCTTGAGAACATTAGTCCCCTCAGTTTGTATCGTCGCTTCGGGGCCCAAAATTTCCACTTGCGAATACAATCTTATCTTACTCTCTTATACTATAAATTAGAACAATTTTCAGGTAATTACAAGAAACGACTTTTAATGACATGTTTTCACGAAAATAAATTCAGATAGTAGTAACCAATAGTGCCCAATCCTTTTTTCAAGACTATCATATTCTATCATATTTTCGCTCTGTTAATGTCCAAAATACTTCAACATGAAGGCTTCAATTGGCAAAATGTAAGATTGGTATGCAGCCTTTAGAATATTTACTCATAGTGTAGTACTCACATGAATTGAATATAGGATAATAAAGTCTATCATTAAAATTCGAGGTAAGGTACATTGAAAACATTGAATCTTGAGTCCATCGAAATCATTAAGAGTGTTAATACACACTCAGTGGATTAGCCAGACAAAGCGTGGTCTCGTGGCGCCTATCTATCCTATCGCCTAACCTACCTCGTACAGTTCACCACGTCCAATATTTTCATCTCTCTATCGGCTGACTGCCGCAGGGGGTACTCCTCCTAGTGCGGCGCTTTTTCCTTTTACTTGTGCCTCACTTCTATCTTTCGTACATGGCCATTCTAGGTCCCTTGTGATTTTTTCGACCCCGACTCTATTAGATATGGAGGGCTAGGAAGTCGTGTATATTTTCTTAGACTTTTCTCTCTATTTTCTTCTTTTTGCATCTCTTCATTTTTCTATACAATTATTTTAGCTCTCTATATCGATTAATAGTCTTTCGATCTTTCTAAAGCCACTCCTAACCAACGCTACTTCATGCGACCGAAGGAAAACACTGTCCCGTTTTTCTCTCAGAGAAGGACCTTGTAATCTATATCCCAAGGAACACAAGAACTGACTTCCCAAGTGGACTGCCGCAGCTCATAACCGCTGAGAAGCCAAGGCGTCTAGGGCGAGCAACAAAAAAAGCCCTGCAAGCTTGTAGACAGCATAGTGGGCCATCCCCAATACAAATCCTTCTCTTTGTGGTGCTCGTAACGCAACCATGGAAACTAAATTGCTGATAAATTTCAAGAGAATAACCAATCTGGTAGAATTAAAACGCCTGCTATTAAGAATAAGGTTAAACAAAAATCTGGAATTGCAAAACGGTTGAAGATCGCCACGTGGAATGTGAGAGGCTTGATTGATAAAAGATTTATACTGGGGTAAAACAAAATACAAGAACAGCTGCTAGTGTACCATTTATAATAAAAGATACCTGTAAAAATAAAATGCATAGCTACAACTTTATATCTGAAAGAATAATGAAAATATTAGATTAAAAAGTAAATCCCGCCAACTTGGATCAACTGTTTTGGTATCCAAGCTCTGCTTGTCACGATCCACGACAAAGAGGGGAGTGATAGAAGAGTAACACCTCTTTAAAAAACTGGGTCCAGCTTGCTCCGACTAGTAGCACCTCGTAAGGGTGCGGTGAAAACCTCAAGGGCAGATTGCTCGGAACAGGCGCCCATTCTTCAAGGATTAATATGAAGACCCGTCGTCGGAGTAACAACAAGAAAGTCCTTAACGGCTAAAAGACGGATGAGACAGCTCTTCTTATGGGGTTCATACATAAGAGAGGATGCTGAGGTTCCCTAAGAAGGCAGCCTCTTCACCCAGCACACCCAAGGGTTGGTAGCCCGACTCGGCGAACTTATCTTACTCACAAGCTCCAAAGGAACAGCCGGACGGAAATGAAGACGACCTCAGCAATAAATAAAAAAGCAAGAATAATGGTATCTTGGGAAAACTACGTTTAGTAGCATGTAATGTCAGAGGAATTATAAATAAAGAAATAGAATTACAAAAACAATTGATAGAAATGGATGTAGATTTTGTAGCTTTACCGGAAACTAAAAAGAAATTAAAAGTTACAATACAATTAGAAACGTATATAATGATCTATAGTGGTGTCCAATAAGTAGAGAGAGCGCCAGCAGGTGTTACTATAAATATGAGAAATAAGTATAAAAAGAGAATAGTATCATACAGATTTATAAACAAAAGAATAGTAACACTAGTAATTATGGTAGAAAGAGTATAAATGACTGTAATAGAAATATACGCCCTAGAAGAACGAAGGAAAGATAAAGCAAATGAATTTTATGAAAAATTACAAGTGGTAATAAATTAAGTAAACAAGACTGATTATCTGATAGTTTTAGGAAATTATAAGGCCAGAGTCAGAAATAATCCTATCCATTCTGTAATTTGAACAGTTGACGAACACATTTTAAATTAAAATGGACATACATTAATAGACTTTGCAGTATTTAACGAATTAAGAGGAACAAATACATTTACAGACATCACAAATATACATGGGCCGCAAGAGGAAGTGATAAATTATGTATTGGCAAACAAAAATACCTTGGCTCTAATATATGGCAAGAGTGTTTAGAGGTCCGCTGTGTAGAGGTAAAAGGAAAAATAAATATACAAGAAGCGGGTTTAGAGTTTAAGACGAAGAAATTAAGCAATTAATAGACGAAAACAAAGAAGCATTAAATACATTAAAAAACCCAAATAGTTTTGATTTAAAAATTAAATGTAAAAGGATATCTGTTCTATTGAGAAATAAAATGCGAGAAATTAAATGCCGAAGTTGGGAGAGATACATGGCAGATTACTACAGTACCTTCATGGAAGGCAAGATAGTGCATATAAAATTGTAAAATAATCAAATAACTAAATATAGATACTCTAAGAGTTAATCCTATATCAGAAAAAGAATGGCTAAATTATTTTAAAAACCTTTGGGCGAATGATAAAGCGGAAGCAGTAATAATGGTACCCACTGACAACGTAGACAACATTGAAATACAAGAACTTGAAGAAGTACTTAATGCTAGGAAAAATAACAAATCTGCAGGTTCAAATGACCTGAATGTAGAACTAATGAAATATGCAACACTACAGTTCAAAATAAGATTATTAGCTTTTTTAAATACTCGTTCATGTTGGCATGAAGGATATGTTCCGTATAAATGGAATGAATCACATATCAGCCCTATACATAAATATGGAAACAGAACATTAAATAGCAATTATAGAAGAATACGCTTAATAAACTCTTGCTATAAAATTTATGATAATGGAATAGGAAGAAAACAAAACCAATCATGGAAAAAAATCTCAAAAGCCCAACATGGATTTAAGAGAGGAAGATTATGCTGTGACTACATATTTACAATTACTCAATTAACAAAGAAAAGGCGAGAACAAAATTTACCGACATTTTACCTATTCATCGACAATGAGAAGGAATTTGATCAAGTTAGAATTACAATCCTATGGAAAATATTAAAATATAAAGGTGTACCAAAACATCAAATAAAAGCTACACAGACCATATATAGAGAAAATGAAATAAAAATAAGGACAAAAAATTGAAAACAATGAGCCATCATTAACCAAGTTGTAAGACCCAAGGATGTCCATTGACACCTACCTTATTTAACATATACATATTTAACATATTATTGTTAAATACATTATATTAACATATGTATTGACGAAGTGGTAAATGAGTGGCTACAAACTTTAATCAGACAATTTACAGTAAATAATATAAACATTACTTAAGTATTATTTGCAGATGATCAAATCATTATAGGCTCCACAGAA